CTCTTGTTTAATCTGTTGACTGGTAGATCTTCAGTCGAAATTCTAACATTTTACAGATGACTCTCTGAGTTGCCCCCCAGTGGTACAGCGGTATGTAAAACGCTAGAATCCTGGTTTCGATACCCGTGGCGGGCAGAGCACAGATAGCCCATTGTGTAGCTTCGTGCTTAATTACAAACAAACTCTGAGTTTTTATATCAAATTTTTTACATCCTTTGTTTCGCTTGAAGAGAGTGGAAAGTTAGCTGAGCCGAAATCGTACAACAGAAAACACAAACAAATAAAAAAGAATTGAGTCGCGTGACACCGAATGGTAAACCCATTGTCTTGACATTTCTCGTCTGTGGGCAAACATCGTCGTGTGTTATAACTTGTTATGAATTTCCTTCTTTCTTTTGTCGTTTTTGAGAAAGTTAAATGCCCCTAGTTATAATGGACTAACTTCGACCACCAACTGTCGTACCTTTGAGCTGGTCCTTGTCCTAACAAGATCACCCGAGTCAAACACACCGGCATTTTTCGATTTCCGTCATCTTTACGACTTTAGAATCGTCATTGTCTTCTGTATTTATTTAGTTTTTAAGACAGTATTGTGGTTGTTGTTAAGCATGAAGATACATAAAGAGTCATCTGTCCTCTTCCCACCGTGGGTATCGAAAACCGATTTTTAGCATCATAAGTCCACAAACTTACCGCTGAGCCACCAGGAGGGATGAGGTAGAGGGTGCTAAGACAGTATATCAGGAAGATGTAGCATTGATCTTCTTTGCTTGTTTTGGCAGCAGTAGTTTCTTGTCTCGTTTTAAGGGAAGATTTTTCACTTCTATTTTGTTGTGTCACAGTACAACAACTTGAGAACAGCGCCCCTTCGGTTTTCCAAATTTGATTTCTTTTTGTGATATCAATCACTAGACATACGGAGTCTCCCATCTACCATGTTTCTCCCCAATTCACTGTTTAACCACTTTGAGTCATTACTGTCCTAGTTGTCACAACTTTAGGTACTTTGCACTTATTACAGATTAAAATATAATTTTATTGGAATATTTCGAATTCTGCATGCTTCCAGAAAACAGCAACAACTAGAGGGGCACTCAGTAGAGCGCATACCTCTGTCATGCTTGGTTCTAAAAAAATACGAAAATGTGTCTATATATGTCCGTCTTTATCAACGGACACGGACCATTTTTGGCAAGTTTATTCAAAATATAATATTTTGGACTGAGTTATGGTGGAGCAAAAACAGTGTGAAAAATTGGTCCCCATGTTAAGAGATAGGGATTTGGGATTTTCTTGACCTTTGATCTTCACTTCCGAAAACTAATCATTTAAAGTTCCATCATAGTCCAAACGTATATCAACTTCCGTCCAAATCCATTCAGCCATTTTCAAGAAATATTGCTAAAAACACACAAACAAACACAAAGGGGTGAAAGCATAACCTCCGTCCACCTTAGGTAGCAGAGGTAAAAAACAGTTGTAGTTTGCCAAGCTCGCTCCTAGCTTATATACCGTAGTGTCCTAGTTTCCAGAATGATTTTTTAAATGTCTAATTACTTGTGACTTGTTGACGATGAATTTCAACAATAAACAAACAGCACACATTCCACTTGCTTTAAAATAATATATTAAAACAAGTCAAACGTATATACAAATGTTCGTTACATAGTTAATCGCCACAGTTGTGTCCAGAGCTTTAACTAATCGTTTCTTTCGTTAAAGTCGACGCAGTCTGGTTCAGTTACTTTAGAATACAATTGACAAGACGAATTATTATTCTCTGCTCTGTTGTTACAATACAGTCAGTGATAATTCCACTTAGTTACACTGTTGGTTACCACAGTTCTATTCAGAGCTTTAAGTAATTGTCTATTTTCGTCAAAATCCACGTAGGTTGTTTCAGTTACTTTAGAACACAATTGATAAGATGAATTATTTCTTGTCTACTCTGTTATTACAATACAATCTGTGATAATTTGACTTTAGAAATCGCCACTATACGCCCTTTACGGCTATACTTACAATCACTGAGTCGAGATCTATCTACCTATCTAACATACTATGTCTTTCTATATAACTAACTCGAACTACATTTTGTACGCGTATTTATATCGCGAAAGAGGTCTAGAAACGCTATGAGATCTTATGATGCAATAATACTGAATCAAACCAACGAGAAAACTTAGAAGGTTCTAGTAACATGACGCAATAATATAACAAGCTCCAATTCACAACAATTCAACTACACAGCATATGATTCGTACACAGTTACCTAAACAAACCGGGAACAAACTAGCGCTTCTAAAGATAACTAAATTTAACACTCGTACTATACTTAAACCATCCGAATCATAACACTCGCATTAACTTAAACAGTCGTGTATATCTAACAAAGGGACACCCCTGTGCGTATTTTATATCAACAGTTCTAGTATTTTAATTATTTGGTTCTTTATTTGGATTTTTCACAGTGTTTTAGCTGTTGAAAGACTTTCAAAAAAACTTAGCAAGTTAATAAAGAAAATAAAGTTTTTGTCCGTGCTATTTCTGAAACTTACTAATATTTCTTCCTCATCTTGGGGCATCAAGAACTGTACAGGGCAATATCTATGTGTCCGTAAAATGTCTGAAACAGTGTTACCTTCCAAATATACTCAAAGAAAGATCTTACCAGTAACACAATTTAACGACTGTTTAATTCTGATCAACTGACACTTTCACATTATAGGGGGTAAAGATTGACCTCTCTTGCAGAGATATGATGCTTATTGGTCTTTCTGACAGAGATATGATACCCATTGACCTCTCTGACAGAGGTATGATTTCATTAACCTCTCTGACAGAAATGTGATA